AGGCCCTTGGTACGCGGGGGAGGGGTGACGGGATGGGGGCCCTGGGTTGGGGGGGTAGGAAGGTGCTAGGAGGGAGATAGGGTGGGGGGGGGAATAGGATTGAAATAGGGGAATCGCCAGAGTTTGAGACCGTCTTTGTGTCCTCCAGTGTGGGCATCGAGCTTTCCCTCTCTCTCTCTCTCTCTCTCTGCCTCCCTTCTCTCCGCTCTCTCTCTCCTCTCCTCGCATCTCTCTCTCTCTCTTCTCTTCCATCTCTCTCTCTCTCCTCTCTCCTCCTCCCCCTCCCTCCCCTCCCTCCCCTCCTCCTCCCCCTCGCTCCTTCCCCCTGCCACCCTCAACCCCCTCCCTTCCCCAACACAATCACACACACACACCCAGATCTTCTTCATGTACACCCCCGGGGCGCTTTTCCCTCCCCCCTACCCCCCCTTACTCCTCCCCCCTCTCTCTCTCCCTCCCCCTCCCCCTCCCCTCCGCCTATAGCATTCACCCCTACAGAACCCTCGTTGATGTCTCTGTTTGTTTGTTCCGCTTTTTTATTGTTTCCTTTTTGCAGGGGGTGTGGGGATGAGGGGGGAATGTAATTGAAAAGGTAACAGGGTTGGGGGTAAGGGTAGGGGTAAGGAGGGGATGGGGGAGGGGAGGGGATTTATCGCGAGGGGGAGGGGGAAGTAAAGGATCTATTTGACATGGTCGTTTTCATTTTGAATACCTTTTCTTGTTAGGAGGAGGAGGGGGGGGGGCGGAGGGATAGGTGGCGGGAGGGGAAGGGGTAAAGGGGAGGGGAGGGGAGGGAGTCAAGAGGGGGGGGTGTTGTGAATATATTGTTTTTTTCTTGTATATTAGTTTTATTGTTATTGTTTTCAAATTCCATTCAGCATTATCTCTCTCTCTCTCTCTCTCTACTCTCTCTCTCATCTCACTCTCATTCTCTCTCTCTCCTGCTCCGATCTCTCTTCTCTCTTTCATCTCTCTCTCTCTCTCCCTCAGTTTAATTATCCTCACTTGCTTCTTCCTGTCTCCTTCCCAGTTTTTCTCCTCACCATCATGTCTATCACCGTTTCTATTTCCATAATCACCATTACCATTACCCTTAGATTTTTTTGTTGATATCGCCCTGCAGATTGCCATGGCGACGAAGAATATCCATTGAAGGACAGTGACATTCGCGGTACTAAAGATGACAGGCAGATCGGGAAAAGGGTTAGAACATGCGTAAATATCTAAAGAACGATTGAAACCGGTCGCCAAGATACGTACCTGAAAAAAAAAATGTGGATACAAAATATATAGTTTTGTCTACAGTCTCACACACATACAAAAAAAAAAGAAAAAAAAAAGAAAGAGAAAAGCGAGAGAAAGAGAGAGAGAGAGAAAAGAGAAGAGAGAGAGAGAGAGAGAGTTTGTTTGCCGATCTTATTAGCTCCCCCTTCGCCGAAAAGGATCTCACTTAATCAAGCGGCGAATCGGCCTCGGGACAATTAATATAATTTGCATGGGATCTGAGAGACTCGCCCCTCCAGCAGGCCCCTGGGTACGCGGGGGGAGGGGTGACGGGATGGGGGGACTGGGTTGGGGGGGGGTAGGAAGGGGCTAGGGAGGGAGATAGGGTGGGGGGGGGGGAGAGGATTGAAAATAGGGGAATCGCCCTGAGTTGAGCTCGGTCTTGTGTCTCCATGTGGCATCGAGCTTCCCTCTCTCTCTCTCTCTCTCTCTCTCTCGTCTCTCATCTCTCTCTCTCTCTCTCTCTCTCCTCTCTCTCTCTCTCTCTCCTCTCTCCTCCCCCTCCCTCCCCTCCCTCCCCTCCCTCCTCCCCCTCCTCCTTCCCCCCCACCTCAACCCCCTCCCTTCCCCATCACAATCACACACACACACACAGATCTTCTTCATGTACACCCGCTCCCTCCCCCTTCCCCCCCTTACCCCTCCCCCCTCTCTCCCCTCCCCCTCCCCCTCCCCTCCCCCTTATAGCATTCAACCCCTACAGACCTCGTTGATGTCTCTGTTTGTTTGTTCCGCTTTTTTATTGTGTCCTTTTCAGGGGTGGGGGGAGAGGGGGGGAATGTATTGGAAAGGTAAAAAGGGGTGGGGGTAAGGGTAGGGGGGAAGGAGGGGAGGGGAGGGGAGGGGATTTATCGCGAGGGGGGAGGGGGAAGTAAAGGATCTATTTGACATGGTCGTTGTCATTGTTGGAATACCTTTTCTTGTTAGGAGGAGGAGGGGGTAGGTGGCGGGAGGGGAAGGGGAAAGGGGAGGGAGGGAGGGAGTCAAGAGGGGGGTGTACTATGGTGAATATATTTTTTTTTTCTTGTTATATTAGTTTTATTGTTATTGTTTTCATAATTACCATAATCAGCATTATCTCTCTCTCTCTCTCTCTCTCATCTCTCTCTCTCTCTCTCTCTCTCTCTCAACATCTCAATCTCTTTCTCTTTTTCCCTCCCTCTCCTTCTCCCTCTCTCTCTATCTATCTAACTACCTATCTCTCTCTCTCTCTCTCTCTCTCTCTCTCTCTCTCTCTCTCTCTCTCTCTCTCTCTCTCTCTCTCTCTCTCTCTCTCTCTCTCTCTCTCTCCCTCAGTTTAATTATCCTCACTATGCTTCTTCCTCCTTCCCAGTTTTTCTCCTCACCATCATTTCTATCACCGTTTCTATTTCCATAATCACCATTACCATTACCCTTAGATTTTTTTGTTGATATCGCCCCTGCAGATTGCCATGGCGACGAAGAATATCATTGAAGGACAGTGACATATCGCGGTACTAAAGATGACAGGCAGATCGTGAAAAGGGGTTAGAACATGAATAAATATCTAAAGACGATTGAAACCTATCGCCAAGATACGATACTTGAAAAAAAAAATGTGGATACAAAATATATAGTTTTGTCTACAGTCTCACACACATACAAAAAAAAAGAAAAAAAAAAGAAAAAAGAAAATGATAGTAGGAGAGACGTAATAGAGATCTGCAATATACATATTTCAAGGAACAGATCATAAGAACTCCGGTCAGAGAACGCGTCAAATCGGAGGACAAAAATCGTTCATTTCTTTTATTTTTTCAGTTTTGTTTTTTGTAACGTTCTCACTGACAAATGGAATCAAGTAGTGGTATCCAAGGCAGTCATAAACAGCACTCGGAAGCTTATCTCAATCCCGGGACCATCTAACGCGTATTTTCTTCTTTTTTTCTTTTTTTACGAGAACTAAAGCGGATTACTTTGATATACTGCGATACGTGGCCTTGCACTGCTGATTCGAACATCCATATCCGATTTTTTTTTTTTTAAAACTCCTTTTGTGGAGGATATATATAGTATATTATTTTTTTTTCGTTTTTTTTTCGTTGGGGGGGGATGGGAGGTAAAAGGTAGGTTAAGCAAGTTTAGATGACGCGTCGGGGAGTTTACATGGGGAGGGGGAGGGAAGGAGGAGAGAGGGATTCTCAATCGTTCTTTTTTTTTCTTTTCTTTTTTTTTCAGTTTTTTTTTGTAACGTTCGCCTGACATGGCATCAAGTAGTGTTCAAGGCTTCATAAACAGCACTCGATAGCTTATCTCAATCCCGGGACCTTCTTCGCGTTTTTCTTTTTTCTTTTTTTACGAGAACTAAAGCGGATTACTTTGATATACTGCGATACGTGGCCTTGCACTGCTGATTCGACATCCATAATCCGATTTTTTTTTTTAAACTCCTTTTGTGGAGGATATATATATATTTTTTTTTCGTTTTTTTTTATCGTGGGGGGGGAGGGGAGGGGGAGGTAAAGGTAGGTTAAGGCAAGTTATAGAGACGAGGAGGGGAGGGGGAAAAGGGGAGGGGGAGGGAAGGAGGGAGAGAGGGATTCTCAATCGATCTTTTTTTCTTTCTTTCTTTTTTTTCTTTCTTTCTTTTTTCTAACCGAACTTGATATGTAAATCCGGATTAGATGAGATTGAGTAAAAAGGATCACAGGAAATCAAGGAATTTTGTCTGTTTTATGTAGTTTTTTTTTTTTATTTATTTTTTTTTATTCCATTTCTCGGGAAGAGGGGGGAGGGGGAGGGGGAGGGGAAAGGTACAGAGAGGAAGGAGAATAGAGGGAGAAGGAGAGAGAGGAGAGGTGGCGACGGGGAATGGGGTGGGGAGAGGGGAGGGGAAGAGAAAAGGAGAAGGGGAAAGGAAAGAGAATAAAGAGAAAGGAGAGAGAGAGAAAGAGAGAGAGAGAGGGAGAGAGAGAGAGAGAGAGAAAGAGAGAGAGAGAGAGAGAGAGAGAGAGGGAAGGTTGAAAGAGGAGAAGGTAATATAGAAGACAAAGGGAACAAGAGGGGAAGTGAAAAGGGGAATAGAAGGAAAGAGGAAGAACTGAAGCAAAGGGAAGGAGGAAGGAGAAGAGGGTGGATGAGAATGGATGAGGAAAGAGGAAGAGGAGGTGGAATAGAGAGAAAATGTGGAAGGAAGAGGGACGAGGACGAGGTAGAAAGAGGGAAGGAAAGAAGAGGGGGTTAGAGAGAAGTAGGAAGAGAAGAGGGAGGAGGAAGAATAGAGGAAGAGGAGACAAGGGGAGAGGGGGAAAAGGAAGAGAAGAAAAGAAGCACATGGGAGGAAAAGGGGAACATGATAAGAGGGAAAGAAAAGAAGAAAGAGTAGAAGGGAAGGAGAAAAAAGGAGAATAGAACAGGAAAGGGAAAGGGAAAGAGGAGAGGCCAAGAAAAGAAAGAAAGCAGGACGAAGGTAAAGAATAGAGGGAAAGAAAATGGGGGATAAGGAGAGGAAGCAAGAAAGAAAGGAAAGAAAGGAGAAGAACGAGATCGAGAAGAGAAAGAAAAGGAGAAGGGGAAGAAACACGAATAAAAGGGGGAAGAGGGGAAGGGGGGAGGAGGGGAGGGGGTAGAGGAAGAGGTAGGGGGAGAGGGGGGGGTGCATCCCTCCGTGAGCACATTGCGTCGAAAGAACAGGGTTATTTTCCCTCCTCCTTCGCAACCGCCAACAAATAATAGATTTGTGTTTCGTCCGTTTCTTTCGACGTGAGGAATTGTCTGCTGGCTTTTATTTGTTTTCTGCTTTTGTTTCCCAGTTTTGCTCTTTTTTTTTGACTTGTTGTCGTTTGTTGTTTTGCTCTTGGTTTCTCGGGTCTTCTTCTTATGTTTCTTTCTATTATTATGTGTTTGCTTTCTCTCTCTCTCTCTCTCTCTCTCTCTCTCTCTCTCTCTCTCTCTCTCTCTCTCCTCTCTCTCTCTCTCTCTCTCTCTCTCTTCTCTCTTTCTCTCTCTTTCCCATCTCCCCTCTCCCTCCCCCCCCCCCCCTCTCTCTCTCTCTCTCTCTCTCTCTCTCTCTCTCTCTCTCTCTCTCTCTCTCTCTCTCTCTCTCTCTCTCTCTCTCTCTCTCCCTCTCCCTCCCCCCCACTCTATCTCTCCCTCTCCCTCCCCCCCCACTCTCTCCCCCTCCCTCTCCCTCTCACTCCCACCCTATCTATCTACCTACATATCCCTCTCTCTCTCTCTCTCTCTCTTCTCCTCATTTACGTCATCTCCGATACCAATCTTCCATTTTGAAAACTTGTCCTTCGCGAGAGTGACGAAAACTTTTCTTTCGTCTCCTGGAAATTGAGCGATTCGGTTGTCCAGCAGACGAAATAACAATCGTCTAAGACTCTCTTTTTCTTTCTTTCTTTCATTTTTTTTTTCTTTTTTTTCTTTTTTTTCATTTTTTTACATTTCATTTCGATGCTCCTGGCGAGAACGTGTTTTTTTTTTCTCTCTCTCTCTATTTTTTCTTTTCTTTTTTTCATTTCGATGATCACGCCGAGAATATGAGATAGAAAGAGACAAAAAAAAAAAAAAAAAAAAAAAAAAAAAAATGGAAAACGGGTAAGAAAAGGGGGGAAGGGGGGAAGGGTAGAGGGAGAAAGGGTGGAAGAAGGAGAGCGAGAATGGAAGAAAACGGGAGGAGGGAGAGGATGTAAAGAAAAGGAAGGAGAAAAAATATATACGAAAGGATAAAGGAGGGAAGGAAATGAAGAGGGAAATAAAGAAAGGAAAGAGAAAGGAAGAGAAAAATTAAGAAAGTATCAAATGAAAAAAAATAAGAGGAACAAGAATTTAAAAAAAGCGGGAAAAGAACGAAAAGAAACGAAATAGGAGGAAACGGATTGGGAAGTAAATTTTAAATAAAAATACAAAAGGGAAGAA